GCAGACCCTTTATCCACATCTTCATTAAGATTCCTGCCCAGGAATCCTGATCCAGGATTTCAGCTGATAAGCCATCACATGCCCAACTGCACCTTTTCCTTTTCTGGTTTTGCCTGCACCTCCCTGTGGATTGCACCAGTAGATACTGGGAATACTCAGTTTTCTCCCAGATGCGCTTGAAGAAACATATCCTGTTTGGAATACAGACCCAAACCAATTTGGGAAAGCACTTTCCAATGGTCATGTTAATGGTCATGGAATCTTGCCTAATTGCTTTTGTTGTGGACACCAGGAAACAACAACCAAGACCACAAGATAGAAAAGTAATGGATGAAGTTTTCCATCTGTTTAGTGTGAATGCAGTGAAGAAACCGATGCTATTTCTGGTAAAGGTTAGCATGACACAGCATGCAGAATTTGATCTTGGTCCCAGGAATTTGATATTGCAGTAGATATCTTGGTTTTGTCACACCTTACTATTCATGGATCCTCTTTGAGTTCGTATTTTGCACTGAATTTTTTTTTGGGTGTTGATCTGCATGGTGTTTCCTTGGTGTCATCAGGCAACTTTTAAATCATCCCATAGTCTGGATAATCACATGGTCACTGAAATCTCCCCCTGCCAAGACTTCCAAAGTCGTTAGTCCTAGTTTTGCTAAGGAAATAAGAAGCAAAGATCTGAATGAAGAAACCCAGGGCTTTCCATCAGATGCACAGATGGTGTCTCAATATATCTCCATAACTAGATGGGACTTTAGCTCATACCACCAAATGAATGAGTGCAGATAAAGATGATAAAGTAATTGTAGTGCACTGTACCTGGGGAAATGTGGTTTTAGTGATTTCAGTAACCTATGGGTGAGTTGTAATAAAACCTCTGCTACAGAGCACCCTAGACAACTGTCCACTACCCATAATATTTTTGTGCTAATTACAAGTTGGTGTTTTTCTAAGATGGTAATTTTATGGGCTTTGCCTTCTGCTTCTGTAGCCACAGCCAACAAAGCACGACAGAGATGTGTCTGTGTGTATGTATGTGTATATATCTATATATACACACACATGTGTAGAAAAGCCTGTCTGCTTTTGAAGCCCTCAAAAGTGAGAAGATCTGCTGAGATGCTCTGTCTTTGCGGCCTAAACAAGTTTTGCTTCCCACCAAAGCTGCCCTCTTCCAGCAGAGACAAGGAAGGCAAAGTCCTCTGTGGCAGCCAGCAAAGTGTCATTTACATTCTTTTAGCAGACTTCATATTCTGTGCTACATGTGGGTGTCTGCATATATATTTAAAGAGCTAAAAAGTCATTATTATAGCTTGAACAGTCATCTCGGAAGAAAAGGAGCCATTCTAAAACTGAAAGTTTTCTCAGATGAAACAAAGGCCAAAACTTTGAGACCTTTGGATAACTGTTCTCCTTTGAAAAATGTCTGTGGAAGTGAGTCTTGCACTACCAGAAGCTGGATCAGCTCAGTACATTATCAGAGGATTCATTCCGATTTTTTGCCTTTAAGAGGCTGCAGCTTTCCTAGATCAGCAGCAGGTCTGATTTGATGGAACCTGCAAGGTGAGCAGCAGGAGTGGCTTGTTCCCAAGACAAGGATTGTCCTGGAGCCCTCGAGTTCTGGTCACAGTGCTTAAAGAAGCACCGAATTCCCTGGTCTGAGCTGGGTTGTTGCTAATAACTGATGATGGAATTGTGTGTGTGGAGGGGGGACTCTCTCCATCACCATCCTGGTGTTCCTGATGGCAGAGCAGTGAAAGCATGGAAGGGGAAGGCAGGCTGAGGTCCAGGGTCTGGATGGGCATTCCCAGGGTCTCTCTGTCCCCTTCCAGCAGTCAAGCTGACGGCAGGATATGGATTTCTTCCTGCCGGAGCGCTAAGTGTGGAGCACACGGAAAGGGCAAGGAATTCATGTGGTTTGTGGAGTTTGTAGGGCCTGGGCAATGGGGTGAAGCTGCACTGAGCCACATTGGAGCAGGTCCCCTTGCTGGAGAGGTGGCTGTGCAGCATCTTTCAGCGTGAGCTCATTTGGAAAACTGGGATTGACCATAAGAGCATTATCCCAAACCTGTTGTCACTGCATGTCTCTACCTTTACAGGAAATTGGGCTGTTTTCTATGTCCTTTATATATTTATTGTGAAGTATTTATTATTATTGCTGCCTATGCGGATGGGTTTTCATACATCATTCAATAGCCTGGGCCATTCCTGGCTGTGACAGTGAAGGCATTGTTATTTTGCCAGGATAGCAGAGCAATAACAGAGTAATGTCAGCTATAATTCATCCATTATGGTTATTTGGGTTGAGAAACTCGCATCACCATGGAGACATTTTAATAATAATGAAAAAAAAAAATTAAAAGCAGACTTTTAATGAGTTGGCAGCTTGTCCAAGTTGAAAGGTACTGTATTGTGGATTCATAATGAAATTTTGGACATGAACTATTTTACATAAAAGGCCCAAAAACCGTAGCTTGTAATTGGGACCAGGAAGGCGTATGGTCTTGATTCAGAGCTACGGGAGAGTTTGTGTATGGCAGGAGGGAGATAAAGCTCAGTTCATCTTATAGGGACGCACAATAATCATGTCTTCCTTTGCCAAATATCTGGGTCTGTGTCCAGGCCTATAATTCGGTCATTTCATGACTGTCTGCATCCTCCATTCAAAATAATGCTAAATGCTTCCTATCTTAGTGCTGTCTAAGGAGGGAATGTTAAGTTGGGGTAAATGCCATGTGCTTCTAGCTCTCCTCACGTGTCTTGCAGTGCCCCAGTGTTTTCCCTTTTGTGGGGCAGTGTTACTGATATCTGTTTGTCAACATGCCCTTTCTGACATGGCTTTCAATTAAAGCAGCCAAATGCATTCAAAATAGGGGCAGTGGTTAATAAGAGCTGCAGCAAACTCCCAGACAGGAGCGGAGAGGGTGATTTTTGCGGCCTCTTGCTTTTGAACTTCTGAGCTTTGCTGTGGTCAGAAGAATTCCCTGCTCATGTTCTCCATCCCCTCCCTGGGTCAAAACCCCTTAGGCAGCCCCAGGATACCATCTACGAAAAGCCTAAAGGGGAGCAGGAAATCTATTTGAAGCTTTTGGGCGCAGAGCTTGACATTTTTGTGGTTTATACGGCTACAAATGTGCAGTTTAAGAAGGATCCATTGTGTTGCCGGCTGCCACACACGTAGAGTCCCATCGCGCTGCCCAGGACGGCGCTGCCCCACTTTGCCGTGCCGAGGTTTAAGATTTCCCACCCAGATACCCAGTGCTACAATGCAACTTGTGTTTTGAGAGCCTGAACCTTTAAAGGAAAGACACCCTGCAAGTCCTGCAGCTGAAATGCAGCATGTGAAGAGGTTACACTGTGTAGGTCTCATCTCCAAAGCTTCATCAAGCTCGTCTGCTAACACTTCAGTGTTTTTGAAGACCTCCTGTTTTGGGGGTATTTGTGCAGACTTTTCAGTGGGGCCCATCTGTCCAATCTGTGTTTTTGCTAGAATAGCATAGAAAATCCAAAATGAGGAGCTCCCATGCAGAGTATGGGCAACTTGGTTCATGTTGACTTGAAACTTCAGGTGAGTTGATCAGGATTTGCAGGGAATAGACCCTTCCCTTGGGGCCAGCACTGGCTCGTACTAACTGGGTGCACTCAATACTGCTTTAATCCTTCAAGAAAACCCATGGGAATCACCTGGGCTAGGTTAAGGTTGCTTCCTTTGAAAGAGCAGACAACCCCCAATGCCTCCTTAATGACTAGGAGAGACTTTCCTAGCTGCTTTTAAATATGCAGGCAAACTCATGTCTCCTACTGATTGCCAGATTTATTTCTGCTTTCAATTTTTTTGAACCAGCCCAATGAGACAGCCACAGAATGTTCTGTTCTGGTGTAAAACAGACAAAACCTAATGCATCTCCCCATTCCCTTAAACCCCTTCAATATTGTGCAGGCTGAACTAGCACAGGATGCTTAATTTCTTCTCTTCCTCTGACATTTTAAGTCAATTTGGAGACCTTATGATGCATGAAATAGAAGACAGCCAAAACTTTCCCTAAATAGTGCCAGGATGCACTAAGGAAAGGGTGTTTGGTTCAAAAAATAGAGAGAAATTCACTTTTTTCAGGACCTCTGCTCCTTGACCGCAGCCCTTCCATCCCAAAACAGTTGCCCTCTTGCTGTCTTTCAGCTTGGATGCAAAGGGCTGTTGTCTCTGTAATGGACTGCAACAAGCTGGAGAGAAAAAACAACAACAAAAAACAAAAACACTTTCTGATGATTATTTAAGATGCTGTTAGAGCAGGTAGCCTTTGGGACATGCTACCTTCCATTGGCTTCGCTAGTGCAATGTGCTTTGGGCTGATCACATCACAGCCTCATATCACAGTAGGTTGTGGGGGGAGAAAACCAGGTCTTCAGATGGTAACTGAAATGCTGCTCAATTCCAACTTGGGGTTGCTGATGTGCAAATAACTGTAGGGGCAAATAGTTGCTAGTGGTCTCCCCATGGGCAATTAGACAGCAGGACTGTTTATTAAACAAGCGTTTTTGAAATGACCTGGCTAACCTCTTTGCTTCTTCACTCCAGCTTCCCCATTCCCAGAGGACTTCTCCATTTTAACCACTGTAAAAGCAAAGAAAGGAGGTCAGTCCTTCTTGATCTCAATTTACAATGAGCAAGGGATCCAGCAAATTGGTGTGGAGATGGGTAGATCTCCTGTATTCCTGTATGAAGACCATACAGGAAAGCCAGGCCCAGAAGACTATCCTCTCTTTAGAGGCATTAACCTAGCAGATGGCAAGTAAGTGAAACTTTATGCACAAAAGGGAAAAAATACACTGTTTATATCGATACCAGCATATGTTGAATATCGTGTGCAAAATAGAAATTATGTATTAATGTATGTACACACTCTTTATGACTGCCAAGTCTTCCATTCTTGAGTTTTTTGCTTTGCCAGATAATACTGCAGATATGATGAAGTGAATCTGAAGAATCAGTTCAGGTTATTTGAAATTTATGGGAGATAGCAGAGCTGAATTTTGTTACAAAAATTCATAGATAAGTTAGTGTACTGTACCATGTCAATTTAAATACTTTGCCAAACAAAAGGAGAATGAAAGAGAGGGGTAGTTAGGGGGTAATCTTGAGAGCTTTCATGGACCTCTTTTTAAAACCAGAGCATACTCCCCTACCTGTTCTGCAGGGACAAGTGATATCCTTTGGCAACACAGCTAGTAATTTCCATTTCCAATAGCACATTTAGGGTCTGCCCAGGGATGACTTTCATCCTTTTGCCCGTGATAACTGGTGTCAAGTTTTGCAGGAACGTTATTTCATGAGTCGTTGTTATAAAGCTGGCTTGTTCTCCAATGCCCAAAGCTCTGTTTAACTCCTCTGTGGGGCTATGTTCTTCTAGGTGGCACAGAATAGCCATCAGTGTGCAGAAGAAAAACATCACCTTAATTTTGGACTGTAAAAAGAAGATAACCAAATTCTTGGACCGAAGTGACCACCCCATCATTGACGTCAATGGCATCATTGTATTTGGAACAAGGATACTGGATGAGGAAGTCTTCGAGGTAAGTCATGGCAATAAGGAGCTGGAGAGGTTCCACAGAGAAGAGCTGGCTTCTGCTTTGCTAAGTTGTTAGCTTGTTTTTGAGATGCTTCCTGTGTGTTTGTGTAGTAAAATTGTAAGACTGTTGTCAGAATTTGTTTGGACTAGGTAAAGGCTTTCTGTAATAGCCATCAAAAGAGTGAGCCAGAGCATCTGCTGCAATGAGCTCTCCTGGTTCTCTTTGGTTTCATGCCCTTGTTGTTCTAGACGAGCTGCTGTGCCAGGACTTTGTATGTCTGTAGTTTTCAGTCTCTTGGCTTGTTCAGTGTGGGACGGGCTCCACCCTTGGATGCAGCAGGATCTCATTCATCCCTGCACTGTGATTTAAGTTGTATTTCAGGGGCAGTTAACAGAGACTGAGGGAAAGCAGCTCCCTTGCAAATCGCAGTTCACTGAGGACTAAGAATTTGTTCTTTCCACATGTGCTGGACATGGATTATTGGTTTCCTGCACTTTGGTGTAACAGCAGTCTCCCCTTTAAAAGCAGCCCCAAATCTTGATGGGCAGAGTGTTTCTGTGAGCAGAGATGCAAGATTATAGAGGAGGAAGGAATAGAGCAGCAGTTCCTCCTGTAGTTTAGTGGCTCCTTTGATGTATGAATTTAACTAGCAGTCTCAGCTTTGGTGATCTGCTGCATTTCTGAGGCTTTTGTGCAAAAATACTGACCCTGATCTTGAAAGCCAGAAGAGCTGAAATCAGAGCCAGTGCAGAGGAGTGTAAACTAAGACTTATTGACTTCTTTATCTCCTTATATGTTGTGTTTGCTTGGAAGGAAGAGGTGTTTGCTGCTTGTGGGTTTAGCTGACAAATACAGCAAAGGAATGGGGAGCATCTTATGACAGTGGGGAATAATTAGTCACAGTGAAGCCAGCTCTCATCTGCTTTGCACTATCTGTCACTTCGAAGGAAAGTTCCAGTCTATTTGACATTGCCAACATCTGGGAGCTGCTCAGCTGTAAGCAGAGCAAGAATGCCTGGACTGAACGTTGCTGCCAAAATCCTAGTTAGGGAGTTAGAACGGGATCTGTAAACTGCATTAAGCTAATAGACAGTCCCTGGAAAGTTTAAATTAGAAGGGAAAGTAAAAGCTGGGTTTAAGGGGCACTGGATTGGACAATCTGCCAAGAATTTCTGCAATTGCACTGGGTGTGATAGTGTAAGTAGAGCTGTTAGGTAAAGCGGTCAGCTTTTCTGGGAGGCCACTGAACCCAGAGATCTAGTAGATGCTCTAAAAAGTCAGTATTGCATCCAAATTGGATAAGGAAGCTGCAGTTTGGAGGCTTGACCTGTTGCTGATGAGGCTGTGATGATACCTGCCTTGCTGGAGGCTGCAGCGTGCACGGGGCTGTGCTGATGTAGGTGCAGTCCCTGCAGTAACGCAGTTTCCATAACTGCCCCTAAAGCTTGAGATCTTCCTTTGCAGGTTTTTAAGGGTGAGGACTAACAGACCCTCTTCCAGACAGGGCAACATGTGCATTTAGGGATGGCAGCCTGATCCCAGCTCTCCTCTTGAGCCTTCCCAGGAGGTTGGACACCAGTTCCCCTGCTTAACATGATCATCTTGGCATACAAGTTGACAGGACTTGTGAAATGTGGCTCTTGGGAGATGGTGTGAAACGGCTGTAGCTCCTCTTCCCTGGAGCCCTTTGCGGTCAGCTCCAAGCACATGACGACTACCAGCTCGTTGCAGATCTCTCCAGAGAGACTTGGCATAATGGGCAGTTTGTGTTTCCCCCATGTGTTGTACAGTATTAGTACATGTGTTAAACAGCCTCTCCAGTTCTGACCTTTGTCCTTTCCTCTTCTGTCTTGTCCACCAAACTGTTTTCAGCCTGTTCACGTGCCCAAGCTCTAAACTGAATACAATAAGCTTCCTGAAGGCAGCTATAACCTCATCTCCTAATTCCTATCTCAGCAACCTAATTTCTTTTGGGTGGTGGTTCTTTTTCTCTCCAGTCAGCAAGCCTAAGCAGAAACTTGGGAAAAAATCTGAGCCCACAAAAATGGGAAAGGCGTGGAACTAATCCAGGGTGGTATGTGTTCCTAGAAAGCTGCTAACTTCTGGATTTTGAATTGCAGCCACAACGAGATGAAGCTGCTGCTGTCTTGAACTCCTCCATTGGCTGAGATGTTCCCCAGGGTTTTGTGTAGCCATGGAGTTGTCTGGCTGTTATGTCTGTGCCTGTTGCTAGGATCTAAAATAACCAAGTTAACCTAGAGCGAGGTGGAAGGCCTTGGAGGCCTAGTCTTTTTTCAGCACAGATCAGCAAGGGCTGTAAGTTATGGGGATTCACATTGTGCTTCTCTGAACCTGTCAGGACCGAAACCAAATAAAACCTGAAACTTCTTTGTTTTGAAAGCTCAAGTTATTTAAACTTTAGGTCTAGCTGGGTCCCAAGCAAAGCAACAGTTGAGTGTGCAGGGGGTGACTTCCTTGCTCATACTCCGTTGCAGAAAGACTCTGGCAGGGAAGGTTAGAGAAGTTTCAAAACATTTCTGTAGAACGACATTCTTCCAGTGGAAAAACGACTTCCCTTCATTAAAATTCAATTAGTTTGGAG